TATATTTCCCTAGAAAAATTAAAAAATGAAAGATGCTCTTCATATATGGATATTATGTACCATCATCTCACTTATTAGAGCCACTTAAGTAAACGTGAAGTTACCCCTGTGCTTAAGCACCACACCACAAGGCACAAAGATGTATATAGGATGTACAGGTAACGATCATCTAGTCCTTTACGGCTTGGACTTTTGTTTCTTAACAAAACTGAAGTCTGAATATGTTTGTATAGTTCCCTCATGTACATACATACCAAAGATGTCCTGCAATCTGGTGTATACACAGGACACTATAGTGTGTATGGAATCAACAGTCCTGCCAGGCCAGAAGCCCAACATCCCAGCCTATCAGAATTTTCTACTAGAGGGACTTGATAAGTCCCAATGGGTCATAAAAGGTTAGTACCAAATGGAGGGAAGTTATCAGATTTACACTCAGGCTACTTTACCTCTACAAAAAGGTGATGGTGGGAAATGCAAAAATTCCTGCCTCTGCTACCACGCTAGGATTTAGCTCCAAAGTGTACACAGATTTTTGTTTAAAACTGTTGGAATACCTAATTTTCTAAATAATAAACTACTATCTCTCTCTCTGATTTTAGAACACAGTGATTAATCACATTTAGTCACAGTCACCCTAAGGCCAATCAATAAATCTTGTTTAGTGTCCAGTCAATTTAACCAGCATCACCAAAACAGATGTCCCTGATACTGAACTTTATATGATTTCCAAACTTTTCTTATTGCCCATCCAAACAGTTGCATGGCTTAGTGAAATTATGAACACCAAATACAAATCAGTGTTAATAACTACTGCATTATATGGGATAAGTGAATTGTGAACAAAGTTTTTACACACAAACTAACTCCATATTGCTTAGTCTTTCTTGAAAAGTTGATAGTTGCTCAGATGATCAAGAAATTCTCCACTTTTACAGAAACTAAATTCATCAATGTCTTGTGCCAACTGAATCTGGCCCAATTTAATATTCTCGCATCTACATCCTCCAAGTGGTCTCTTCCCTTAAGGATTTCTGCACACAATTGTATATGTATTTTTCATTTCTCCACACCAAGAAGTAATTATATTATAGGCTGATTGAAAAGTCAATCTAATTTATTTGTTAGCAAACAGAACATGTGTCAGAAATGGGTTGAATAACCTTTTGATCATCTGGTATAATGTACTTCTAAAACTTGAATCAATGAATTGAGGCTACATAAAATCATCCTTCATAGAAGTTAGAAACTTTAACACTTAAACTTGCCTGATTTATGTTTTTGTTGCTCATATTCTTTTTCTGACTGTGTAGTTGATTCTTTCCAAGTATATCCATTTCTAGTGAATGTGGTACTAGTTGATGAAGAGCCCACATGCCCTTGTGTGGTACTTGTAGTTGTCTCTGCCCTGCTGTCTGCATGATTCTCTGATGAAGGAATTCTTTCCGACAGAGAAGACAGCCCACTAGACTCAGACAACCCTATAGAACAGAGAGCACATACAGCCCTTGAACAAAAAATACACTTGCACAATAGATAGTCTCCACTGTATATATGAGTGAGTATGTTGATGAAGTACATTTTAGTATCTAACCATCATTATTTGAGGCATGAAAGCTTACAGGAAGGATGGAGACAAGTCCCCAAAATTCTGTACATTCTTAATCTCAACATTAGCTAAAGATAAGTGGTGAGCTTAACACTCTGACCACATCACCACCAAGGAAAGAACCCATTGAATAGATGGCTGGGTGGGTAAAATATTAATTTGATTAAAGACTTAACATAAAGATCTAACATAAAAACCAAGGGTCATGGGAAAGTACCTAATCAGATAAAACATTACACTGGATGACAATTTATCAAAATAAATTACAATTACCTACGGTGTGGAGACAGAGGCAATAAGATAGCAAAATATCATAATCATCTGTCGAAAAACAAACATGTAAAAAAGAAAACTAAGTAAACACAACAGAATTTTATATGGTTCTGGCAGTTCCTGTCTTACTACCACATTTGGTTCAGAAACATGGAATATGTATGTGGTACAGACTGACAGACTTCACCTTCAAAAACGTATGCCTCATATGATGGCCAATAGCCAACACATCTTCAGAGTCTCACCTGTTTTGGCACATTTGCCAGCTATGAAGTAATCCTGGTGTGTAGTTGAAGATGCCACTGGCTGGTGATTCACTTGGGGTTTCCTGCTACCTTGTTGTTCACTGGCAGATTCACCTGATACCTCTTCCCTCTCCATTGTTCTTCCCACTTTATGTCCACCACTCATATCTTCCTGACCGACTTTCTTGACATTATAACCACCTGAATTTACAAGTGACTTGGGAGGCACCCATGGTACATTTGACTCCAGTAACACATTATCCTCAGCATAGCTTGTCTCAATAAGCCTGTTCACCACTTGTCGTACAAGCTTCTTTTTTATGTTGGAATTGCATGATTTTGAATTTAAGAGATCTTTAAGAAGAGCTATCCCCTTTTCAAGATCTGTAGCAAAAGTGCTGGAAATAGATGACCCCCAAAATCTGTCATCATTTATTTTGAATTTACTGTCTATAAAACCTGCCAAAGGATGAGATGACACACTTTCTGAGGATGAATCTTCTGTAATGGCTTTTCTGTACAAGTTTATATCAACTGCAAGGGTATTATTTTCATAAACATGGCCAGGAAGATACTCAAAACTATTTGCACTACCAACTACACCAGATGAACCTCTTCTACCACTCTCATTTTCATTTAGATTCCCATTTGATTGGGGAGTGTCTCCTATAAACCATGATCCTACTGTCCGTGTGCTACTGGTTAAGCTATCTAATGTTCCTGTAGCTTCTTCTTCACTTTGGTTCACGTAACTCTGCACCACTGGTTTAATGCTGTTAGAGTTTAACCTGCCATGAGGTCTCTGAACGTTAGTATCTTCGGACATCCTGGCATGTCTTTCTGAGACAGTCTGTTGTGTCCTTGCTGCAGATAAACACCACTGATGTTCATTGCCTCCTCTCTTGTGTGCACCTTTACACACTGCAGAACTTTGATTTGCATTTGTTCTGTTACACTGTAATTTATGACAGTTTATGTTTTGGAAGGAATTGTTCTGGGGCTGTATCTGTGACACATGGGAGTAATTATTTTTTTCAACAGATGAAAGTTGTGAATTATGAGCATGTTTGGCATTTCTTATGTCTTCTGCTATATTACTATCAGTTTTTTCAACTATATCTGAATCAGAACCTTCTAACTCCATATCTTGTTCAAGATTTGAGGTTACATGTCTTATGTCATGACCATCAACTTTATGAGGAAAACTGGGTGAGGAAACCAGAGATTTACAGTCTTTTGCAGTTTCTGATACCTGAATGCCAACAGAATTTCTAAAAGGGACATGAAATGCTGAAGTCTGAACAACTTTACCAGAAATCCTAGGGGAGTCAAGATTTGGGACCACAGTTGCTATAGATGATGATGACGCAGAGCATGTCGCTAAGCAACTGTTCCTCTTATACTGATGCTGCAGAGGAAATGAACCACTATTAGAATACTGAAAAGATTTAGTTCTGAAATCTTCCTTTGATAATAAACTCAGACAGCTCCGACTTCGTGAAAGCAAGTCTTTATGTGCTTCATGAAGCCCACATTCATTTAGATCAGTCAAAGAAGTACTGACTTTTTTGGACATAATATTACAACCTTCTCCTTCTTTACATTCTGCACTCTGAACCTGGTGATGGAGAAAGGGAGTGGTGTGCCTGTTAGCTGAATGATGATAACTAAATTCCTCTTCATGAAAGATACACTTTTCTCCTTGCAATTTCTGAATTGGTGTTATTTCAATCTCATTATCGGCTCCTGCCACAGAACTTGCAACTGTCTGTCCAAAAGCTAAAGGTGTTGACATAGCCATTTGCACATTGGAATTAAACTTTGATATTTTAGTGACAGGTTTCAGTTGCATTGAACCAGCTGTGCCCTCAGGCTCGAGTCTCTGTGCAGCTGAACATCCTCTTGCTAAAGCAATTCTTTCTATGGAACTAAGACCCTCACCTGAGGGAAATTCATGAGGTTGAAAATTCTGATACCCAACATCAGCACCACTATCCCATTCCAAACGTCGACTGGATGTCACACTGGAGACAGAGGCAGGTGATAGGGCTCTCCCACTTCCGACTGTTTCAGTTACTATGACAGAACAATCTTGATTTTGATCTGATGGACTGTAAGTCTGGTCCTGGATATCAAGTGGACTTGACACCATGACAGAGCAACTACAGGAAATACCATTTTCTCGATTATCTGAAACCTTATCACATTCAACATCCCCCCATACTTCGTTCAAAACTTTCACATCTCTACAAGCCTCCATTTTACTTTCTTTTCCTAGTGAACTAGAATATGGTTTTAAATCATTAACTTCTGGTAAGATGCACAGTGCCTTATGTGACCCAATTTCATTCATACTGGGTGACATGGCTACAGAATAATCATTTTTTTTGTCAGTACAATTAGGTTGTAGTAATTCATCTTGTACTGAATGATGTGAATCATACTCTGTTCCCATATTACTGACTGCTTCCAATGATATATCTTGTATCACTGTTGAATTGTCACTAGTAGAAGCTTGGCCTACAAGAGGTGGTCTAACCCATCGTTTTCTTTCCCGAGGAGCTGACTCTAATGCAGCAGCTTTAGAAGTACTCGGTAAATACAATGTTTCTTGCCCTATAACATTCCTGCAATGCTCTTCATTGTTATTCTTATGAGTACTCTGTGAATGTTGTGTTGTTTCAACGTCAATACACAAACTCTGAGCACAGTAATTTTCATTAACAGTATTTTCTGGCTTAAAACTCTTGGTCTGCATGTTCAGAATTGAATCAGATGGCGAACTAGATGCTCCACACGTTGTGGACCGAACATTGTGCCTACAATTAAATACGCTGTTGTCGCGCATTCTCTTATTATACTCCATAACTTGTGCTGAGAGAATGATCCTTCCTAATGGTGTACCACCTACACTATCAGTTAACAGTGAAACTGGCATAAACGCTCGATCATCACTACATTACACAACCCGTGGCTAGCACAGTCTGATTCACCATTTTCAGCATTTACTACTATTTATCCCTTTGGAGTATGAAAATATTTGTATACAACCATTTATAGGTTAAGTAACAAAACGAATACTTCTGCAACAGCCATTAACAAAATACCTTAATACTCTACCTTCCCGTCACAGAAATTCAGCATTAATGAAAGCAATTGCAATTATTGCTGTTTCTACAACTAAGGACTGACAAACACGTTTCTTTATATATTCATATATCTTGCACAACAAGGGCAATATTTATTCTTAACAGCCACAGAGTACTCAACACAATAACTAAGAGAAACAAGTCACACTGTGTCGATTGACGTTGTTGTTTTGGTAGTCATGTATGATAAATTGCGAGTTTGAGGTTGTTTTGTATTGCTTGTATGGATGTGTAAAATCATATATAGAATTAGCATTTCTCGTAAAATTTAAAAGTTATTGGATATCCTTGCACGATGATTGAAGCAGATATCATAGTAGTTGGAGCTGGTATTTCTGGTTTGACAGCAGCGTACAAACTCCTTAAAAAAAATCAGAGTTTAAGGGTTTTAGTACTGGAAGCAAAGGGTTAGAAATTTTGATTGAACTTTTGGTTTGTTGTGTCAAATGAACTTCTTGTAACTCAACAGTTAATACAATTTTTTGGACATGTTTATTTAAATGCGTAATTTGTTGCCACTACGTTTTTTGAAAATATGATGGGAGACAGAAGATGCATCTTAATGTGCTCTGTGGCCACATCAAATTGGTTGGCTTAATTCTGTATAAAGCGCCCACAAGAAACCGCACATGGATCCTATACTGCCAGATAAATCCAGTCCACAACCTTACAACCTGTTAGTGAAGGGTCTGTTTTAATAGTATCCTGCCATCTGCATCTAGATCTGACTGGTTCTTTCCTTCAGGATTCACAACAAAAAGTTTTTTCCCAGTCTCTCCAAGTGAATGCCAGGATAATGCTTCTTAATAGATCACAGTGACCTTCAAAATTCTTATATATTTACCATTCATTTGATCAAATTTTTGTTTGTAGCTTGTGTATTTGAACAGCATTGTCAAATAGTCTTATAGTAATGAAAAATCATCCTCCATTTTTAGAGAAAATTGGTTGTTCAGTTAGAGGTGTGCTACGGGAGATCATTGCATCTGTTGTTTGGCATGAGCACCTGCTGATCCATGGGTATGGTACTGGCATTCTGTGCAGAAGGTTTCAGTTTTGACAGCAGCTGATTCCCAATGTGGATTTTTCTGAACAATTTCCCATCCCTCATCTTTCGAAACAGTAAACATTTGTCAAAGCAATGAATATCTGGCTTCTACAGTGGTTTGTACTCATCATTATAATGTTATGGGAGAATAAACTGGATGTGCCTGTCAAAAATCTTGAGTTTTCTACCTGTGGCAGATGATCAGATTTAATACTTGAAGAGAGAGCCACCAAACACAGGAATTAATATCTTCCCTTATGGTTTTCATGTTTCAGATCGTGTGGGTGGACGGACCTTGACAGTTACTTTAAAAACTTCAAATCTTCAAACAGATCAGTTTGATCTTGGAGGGCAGTGGGTCAGTTCATCTCAGCTTCATATTCTGCGATTGCTGCAAGAGCTTAATCTCACTACATATCTGCAATATGATGCTGGGTATAAAATAGGCCAAGGCAGTGCTTCAGTCTTTGAGAAGTACAGCACATCTTTCCCATCCTTTGGTTCATATTACAGTTGCTATGAACTTGGACAGTTTGTCTCAAAAGTAAGTCCTGGATGTATATCCTATCAATACTCTGACCAATTTCTTACCACTGTTTTATGTAATAAACTATGTATCATGAGATGAAACATATTTTTCTTGTATTCTGAGATATTTTTGTAACAGATGGTCTTAAAAATGTTGGACTTCTGTTCAATTTCATGCATGTCATTGCCCAAGGAGATCTTATGAAGTCTTATAAAGTTCTGAATGTGATGAAGTGTCAGTTTAATTTTATTATGATTTCATTAATATAACTTTAAAATATGGACACTTTTTTATACTCCATGAAGTTTTACATAAACATAAATATAATTGTGCTATTTTATTTCTTACAGATTGAAAAAATGTCCAAGGAAGTATCACTTGTTGATCCATTCAGTTCCACATTTTCTAAAGAGATGGATTCAATAACAATGGAGACGTTGTTGCTCAGACATCTGTCCACCAAAATGGCCCAAGATATTATGAGAACTCTTATTCGTGTCACATTTGGTAAGAACATATCATCTCAGGGAAGAACATAGGTGGGGGTAGTTTGAGACGAAGTTGGTGAGGAGAATATTTGGACCTAACAGAAAGAAAGAAAAAGGATGAACAAAGTTACAAATTAGAATTGTCATAATTTGTACTCTTCATTTGATGGTGTCCAGTGGTTGGATTTTGTGAGAATGGTAATGAACATTTAGGTTCCATAAAAATTTAAAATTTCTTGACCAGCTGAATAAATACCTAAATTTAAAGAAGGGCCCTCTCCCACTTAAGTAGGTAGTATTTATCGGAATTTTTGTGAATATCTGGAATTTGATACTTTTTCAGAAAAATATTGTCATAGATAAGTTAAAATGCTCTGTATTACAATGTATTAATGGGATATACACAATTTGTGTGCAGGAACTGAGGCATCACAACTGTCAGCATTGTATTTCTTGGCATTCTCAAATGGTACACATGGACTGCTGAGTCAGTTTAGTTCAAGTTTGAATGGAGCAAGAGAATTACGGATAAAGGTCAGTTTTGTGAAATGGTAAACTTTCTTTCTTTTTTATTTTCCTTTTTAACAATAATATATATATTTAATGTACTTTTGTTTTTCTGTGTATCGATTATTCTTTTTTCCTAATAATTCCCAAAACTTAATGGGTGATTACTAATTACAAAGATTAGAGGTTAATGGGTGTTTGTTTGTTTATCTGTTCAGATGTATTGATTTCCTTATAATTAGTTAAATACACAACTTCCAAAATTTTATAGTAATAAACAGGCATGTCAGCACATTTGTATAATCTGTTTTGAGTTGCTACTATTGCAATTTTTATGTCCTTTTGACTCCAGAAGTCACATACAACACACTCAGTTTTTATTGTCTATTGGCTGAACAAGGAATTATTGCATCAGATGAGGTAGCTAACAGAATTACTTAAAATAGCTATATTAAATGAGGTGATCAGAATTTATAAGGTATCAATAAAGATTTTTAAAAAGTTTCTTCACAGTCATGTCCAGACTGTCTATAGGGCCTTACCCAGCCTGCTATCAAGTTGGTTTCAGGGGCTGTTTCCCTGGTGATAAATTTGACATGGCATGGCACTTATTACTTACTTCCATCTAGTACCAAAGTTAATAAACCCTCATGGTGTGTTTCTGAATTGAGCAGAGGGATGACATTTCTCCTTGCTTATACTTTATATCAACAATAATTGAACTTTTTAGATGGTCTGAAATGGATATTTGCAATAATTCACACTCAGTATACTTCTAAATGTAATTGTTGACACCAGCACATAGCTGAATCTATTGAGAAAAATGTTTTGCAACACTGTCTTATCAAGTGACGTTGCCAAAAAGTTGCCTTGAGAAGCTCAGATTTTGTAAGTATTCTGATTGATTAAAATACGTTATTACTGTTTAGGGTGGAGCACAGCAAATAGCTTTGGAGCTTTCTGTTAAAATTGGGAAGGAATGTATTATTCTGAACACCCCAGTGACAGAGATTGAGCAATCTGAAAATGGAGTCCGAGTGTCCACTCGATTTGGGAAAATATATAGGTAAGACAAGTATCTTTATGTTCATTGTCTGTGCTCTTTCAAAGGTCTTATTTATCATCAGTAAACTCTATGGAGAGTCTGGGTCCTGTTATTCACCCTTCCACTTGTCCGGATGCAGGTACCCTGTGTCTGTGTTTGCTTTATCTGGCTGTTTGTTGGTTGGATTCCTTGATGGTACATATCTGACAGATGGTTGCAGCTTTTAAGTTCTGCCATCTGGCTGTATTTGAATATATTATTTTTTATGAAATGATTCACTTGTTGACTTTATTTTCAGGAGTAAATATATTATAGTAGCGTTACCACCAACAGAAGTACATCGAATCCTCTTCAATCCATCTCTATCTCTCAAACACAGGCAGTTATTACAACGGTACCCTGTTGGGCATCTCACCAAGTTTATCATCACTTACCCCAAAGTAAGATAATAATTGCGTCCATTATACAGGTGATAAAATACTTTGATGGCCCATATTATAAACCTGTATTTCTTGTAGGAAAATACAAACTGATTCTATAAAAGTTATAACAGTGGTTCATTTTCATTTGTGAGATTTCAGGTTCTTATGTTGGCAAATATGAAGATGGTAGTCTTCTGAGAAGTTGCACCATGTAGTCTGGTATGAGGTTACTGATGTTTCAGTTGCTGTCTCCATCATTAGGGTGATGATGAAGGCAGCAAGCACCTCTGAAACACTGGTAAACTTTTACCAGATTACACAGCACATCCCAGAAGGCAGTGATCTTCAGCGGTTCATTTATTATAAGAAAATTATGCTAGGTATTAGCCATTGTCTGAGGTATATTTGATATACATGACATTCCATTAGCTGACTTTATTGCCATTTTCAGGTAATGGTTGTCATTATACTGACAGAGTTAGTATTATTTTGTTCTTATTTTGATATTAGTCATGATGCAGCAACGACAGATTTGTCAGGATAATGATGATTGGTCACCTGAAGATAGGAGTAGAGTGAACTCGTGAAACATCCTGTAAATAAAATATATCTCAGACAGTGGGCAATGCCCAACTTAATATTTATATAAAAATACAAATCATATATGAAGAAATAACATCACTGATTCATTACACTTGTCTATTGGGTAAATGACTTTGAGATGTCTGCCAGATGTTAGTTGTTTGTGAACACAATATGTTAATGAGTGTTGTTTTAGGTTAGGGATGGCAATCCATTGGAACTGTGAATGTGGCTGGCACTACTGATTCAAGTTTAAAGTCTATAAGTGAATTCACTCAGACAATCCAAGTTGCACTAAACACAAATTTTTAATGGGTTTATCTTGTATTTTAAGAATGACTGCAAAGAAAGGTTGAAAAGGGGAATGAATATACATTATCTGCTGCTGTAGTGATCATGTAGGAAGAGTTTATGGCTACAGCAATCCTCAAAATGCTTTCAAACCTCTGATAGCTAGGCTTATATCAGTTTACATACCAAGTGTAAAATTGCTTCATATTTTGTATCAACAGGCTTTCTGGAGAGAGAAGGGATTTTCTGGTGAAGTATTGAGCTATGGAGGAGGTAAAGTTGAGCGTGGTTGTGATGCAGGACCCATCAGTGCAACATATGATGCAACAACTCATCATGGCCACCCAGCCATTGTTGGCTACATGGCTAGTAAAAGTGGTGTGCAGTGGAATTCCAAAGATGTGAGTTTTATTAGTATAAACTTTGGAGTTAAGTGGTTTGCACTCTTGTTTTATAGTTGGGAGGTCCTCATTCAAATCCTAGCTGGAGACTGACTATCCTGACTGAGGTTTTTTCATGGTTTTCCTTATTCTATTCAGGAGAATGCTGGGATAATACCTTAAATTAGGCCACTTCTTTTCACATCCTTTCCAATTAATTAATAATCCTATTGCTCAACACTATGGAGGGTATACCAGGAAGTTCCTGCCAAAGTTGTAGGGAATATTCTTTGAGTCAGTTTCAGTCAAGATAATCAAATTAAAGTCATGTCAAAATAATCAAATCCAAAGTTGAACAATTATGGACTCATATGGTGACAGAATTTTGTTAAAGTAACATTAGCTAATTGCTCACATTTCTCATCTTGGCACAGTTACCAAGTGTCTTTGTTTTGATCTTTTTGTAGTTTTCTTTCTGTCCCTTATGAACTCAGGGTTAGTACCATGAAATATGATATAGGTACCTTCTAAATTCTTAAATACTTTACTTTCATGATCATCCTCCCATCATTTTTAATACTATAATGTATGCAGTTGAATCATTGTAAAATAATTTCAAATTCAAATTAGTGTAATAGTAATCCTCATAGCAGACAGTTTGTTGCCACCTGAATTATTAACTGAAATTAAAGTATTATTTGTCAGGTAATTTTCCACCAACATATTATTTTTGTAACAGTCATGTATTTACTTATTTTTAATTTGTCTAATTTCAGACATCTTGTCGGAAACAATCTGTGTTGGAGACACTTTCTTACTTTTGGGGTGACTGGGTTCATGATCCCATTGACTATGTGGAGAAGAACTGGGGTGAAGAGGCCTATGTAGGAGGCTGTCCGACACATGGGATGTCACCTGGAATGATGGTATGGTTCCATCAGATCAGGACACCCTTTGGAAGGTACCTTATTTCTTGTTACAACTCATACAAATTTTGTTTGGAAACCTAATCCTTGACTGTTTCAAACTGGGTACCTTCGAAATGGGAGTGAGATGTATTAGGGACATGCAAATCTAGTGGTACTAAGTAAATAAATGCTTACTTAGTACTTATGTACTCAGACCTATTCTACTTAATGATATAGGGCAATGAGCTTGACACTTTTCTGGTTTATGGCTTGGAGTTTATCTGTCGTCATGTTCTGAACATTCTCGTTTGAGAACTGTCTGCCCCTTTAGGTCTTGTTCATTGTCTTACCACATTTCTTAGAGATTTCATTGCCATTCTATTACCTTTACCTTTTATTACATCATATGTTCTGAGTACTCTCTTCTTGGGTTTGTGTGCATCTTATGTGGTTCATTTGTATGGTATCACAACCAAATATATGCTAAAAAATTAGCTGCATTGGCAGAAGTCAACAAATGTTTTATCTGTATGATTTGAGGTTTTCACAGCGGTGAGTATGAAGATTTCTGTCTTCTGGGTTGTTGCGCTGTGTAGTCTGGTCATCAGGGTGATTCATCACCCTGATGATGGAGGCAGTATGACCTCTGAAACGTTGGTAAACATCTACCAGACTACACAGTGCAACAACCCAGAAGACAGAAATCTCCAAATGTTTTCTCATTTCACGAGCTGGGTGAAAGTTGTTCTCATTGGACATTTCTACTGTAAGAGAAACCACAGTCTGCTGGCGCATGCTGTTGTAATTGCCCAGTGTGCTTACCATTATATAACATATATAACATAAAATATGTCCCTTGAATGTCGGCAAATACAGTGAAACCTCGATGCATCGTTTTCGGCGGGGGTGGGAAATAAAAACGATGAATGCGGGAAAACGATAGATGCGGGAAAGCATTAAAAATTTAAAAAAAACAATGTTTCTCTTTCAAAGTTACTTCTTTTTACCAAAAAAAGTCTTTAATGGACAACTGGTTTGTCGAAACTTTACGTTTTAGACCAAACAGAGCACTTTCCACGTTCACTAATATTAAGCGCATAAAAGAACAACTTCACTTTCGCCAATGCAGCGTGCGCTTCGGCAAAACTCGGCAAAGCTTCGGGCTCGCATTCGTCGTCTCCCTCTTCCTCACCACTCCAACCCCCTTTGCGGACAATAACAGGAAGAATGGAAATACTATTACTGCCGAACTCAACGAAACGTAGCTGTAGAAGACACTGAACCACTGGAAACGAGATGAACCAGAAGAATGAAAAGTGCCGCCAGCCTTTCCTTTGTACTTGTAATAAAAGCATTTGTGAAGAAATTCACACTGCACATGCCATCTGGCATCGCTGGAACGAAATATGAGTGCACCCTAATTAAAATCGTAAAATTTCTGACAATGAGCACCGCCATTCACTCCAACTATCACCCCTGCACCGCTGACCATCATTCCAAAAGAATGTGCTGGTTGGGCGACATAACAGGTTATCGCTACTGTGTATTCCAAAAACATTGTGCGTCTTTCGGAATTAAATTCTAAAAATATCACGTAAATTTCGTTACAATTTCTCAGAAACGATCATTGCGGGAAAATTGTTGGCCGGGACTAAGATTTTTGAACGATTGATGCGATAAAACGATAGTTCGAGGAACGATAGAAGCGGGAAAATGTAACATTATTTTATATGGGATGTATTCGGGACCGAACAAAACGGACGATGCATCCGGGAAAACGATAGTTCCGGGAACGATGGATAGAGGTTTCACTGTATCTAATTACATCTGACCTGCACAGAAGAGAAGTGAGTCACTTCCGTTAGTAACTTTTAGCATCTTACGCATATATATGTGTTGAAGCAGCTGATTATTGTACAGGGAACTATATTTTGCTGTAATCTTTTCCCTACCTCCTGATGTTCAATCACATCTAACAAAATCTTAAAACTTTGCATACCGTGTAGTGTATTAGAATATAAATAGGCAAACAAACAACTATTAACACTATAAAAAAAGACACTATTGCCATACGCGTTTCAACCTCAAGAGGTCATCATCGGTGGCATCAGGGAAATCAGTTCATTTAATTAAATGGCTCAAACTTGATTTAGAAAAAAATAATGAATATGACATTTGACGAAAAGTATCTTAAGCGACACTGCACCAGATGTTGTTATTCATAGGAATAGATTCTGCACTTAGCTATTTATCCGGTGGTCCGGTGGCTGTAGCTGTAGCTGGTTTGCGGCGAGCTGTAGTTGCATCGTCCGTACCTGTGAACTCCAGAACAGTGGGTGAGAGCGTACGGCAATAGTGTCTTTTTTATAGTGTTAATAGTTGTTTGTTTGCCTATTTACATCTAACAAAAGCCTTCATAACCTTGCCATTTACAGACTTACTCTTTGGTATCTGTGGAGAAATTGAGAGAGTGGAAAAGAGTATTAACAAAATTTGTATTTACTATCTTTGATTTTACACTTGTCTCATATGACTATACTTTGGGTTTTTTGAGACCTGCATATTTATTAACATTTTTTATTCACAAGTTTAATCCGTTATGCCAACATTAGTGAGTAATTTCTCAGTCTGATGAGTGACACTGTTCCTTCTAGAATGATTTGCAGCAACATATTTTATTTATATGAATATTATGTTTGAGATTGCCCATTATTTGAGTTTTATTTGAGCTGGCTTTCCTCCTGTCTCTTAGGTGGTTTTCATTGTAGTGACAATTATGTTATTTCTTTTATATTTGGATATTAATGGTGATAGATGGGATAAAACCTGGGACCTTTGGAATACTAGATTATTAGAATGCACTTCTCAGACAGTGGGCAATGTCCAACTTGATATTAATTTAATGAATCAACTGTTTTCATGAACCTTGAGAGGATTACATTATTTGCAGGATCTATTGGGCTGGCACAGAAACTGCAACTCGGTGGTGTGGTTATATGGACGGAGCTGTACAGGCAGGTGAAAGAGCTGCGCTGGAAGTCCTGTACAAGTTTCAGCCTCAAACTCTCACTGCTGCAGACCTAGATGTTATTGAGTGAGTAGGATCGTTTACTAGTTTCTGAATACCGTATATTCTTTTATGAAAATGCTGAAGTCTTTGTCTTCATGTAAGCAGATTATAAGTAGCAGAAATGATGTTTTGGTCAAGTATTAAGAAATTGCCTAGAAGATATAAAATTTGAAACTGGGACATTATATAGTATCTGAAAGCAGCTAACGGTATGAGAAAAGTTGTAAGATTTGAGGTTTTGACAGCGGTGAGTATGAAAATTTGTTTGAGTTAAAGATACAGTGGTATTGAATAAATGGACGTTGAAGAGACTAAGTTATGAAAGGTATGCAAAAACAGAGTTGGGAATAATGAACACATGCAAGAGGAGGGCAGAAAAGTGTGGAGGTTTTGTCATAGAATGACCGCTTTTGATCATGAGGCGTGTTGCTTGCAAAATACAATTGTGCAAATAAAATTAAAGTGTGTAGAATTCAAATAAACATAGAGCACTTAAGCTGGGCGAGATAACAGGCATTGTGAAAGAAGGTAATTGAGCGAGGAGCAGTAATATTTTTCTTTTTTAACATTGTTATCTTTATCAGAATAATTATTATTTTTTATTTTGTTGCCATTACAGCATAAAGCACTTTCAGTTTTATAAGACAACTAAATGCCCCCAGAAATATTTAATTGTGAGATTTCACTGTGTGTCTTTTTTTGGTACAGGGTGCCAGCATTTGTGTGGTGCCAATTTCAGATAATTCAGTGTGTTATCATTAATGTTAGCATGATTCTGTAGTATTTGCTTTTCTGTTATTGAACTTATATGTATCCTTTTGCTGTTTTTTTTTTGTTTGTTTGTATTTTCTTATCATGTGTATGTTTTAGGCACACAACCAAAATGATGTATTCTATATTTTGTTTCTTTTATGTAGTTTACAAGTAAGACGAAGCTCATTCATTCATCCGCCACCAGACCCACATATCTTCCGATGGACACTGTGTCTTCCTCTCTTCTTAATTGCAATGGGTTGGGCAGCTTATACTCTTCGCAGACACTTCTGGGTCATAGGTGTTGGTCGGATAGCATGAGATTTTTCGTGACAGGTAAGTAAAAATGACATACCATTAACTTTAATGTATCAGGGACCCTGATGATGGGGACAGAGATGGTCCCTGAAACTTCAGTTTTATCGTTTAACAATCTGACGTGGCTGATCACCCGAGAAAATTTTATCGAGTTACGTCGCCGTGAAAGCTTCAAATCGTATAGCTACGTCCATTGTTTCATTCTACCCAACTAACCCAACATGAGAAGCTAATAGTTATTCAGGTAGTGAAGATATTCTGTCTTTTATGTAACTCTAATGACATTACCGTGTTCACAATGGCCATTTCTTGATCTTATCCTGAGCCAAGTGTCCTTGAGGAATTAATAGTTGTGTAGTTAGTCAAGAAGTCCCCAATCTTTTGTAGAACCAGAGGGTTCATTGCCATGTCACAGGAGCCTGCAAATAGGCAATGCCAGATGAATCCAATCTGAGGGGCAGGTTGTCGGGTAAGTAAGTCGGTTGCAAGAACTCCTGATCATTATTATTGTTATTAAAATAACTGACAAACAATTATGAAGATGGCAGTCTTCTGGGATGTAGCGCTTTGTAGTCTGGTAGAAGTTTGCCAATGCCTTAGAGGTCCTTGGTCATCAGAATGATGAGTAAGTTGTGTATGTGGAATCGGTTTGAGATACAGGTAGCCCTCAATTTATGCCAGGGATGTGTTCCTGGACGAACCGGTGTAAACGGAATCGGCGTAAATTGAAACTCTTTTATAATGTAAATCAATGGGAAGAATATGACATGCATTCCCAGCACCCAAACATTGACAAGTAATATAATGGTATTACATTTAAAGCTCTGAAATAACGTAAATAAAATAAAGGGAATTTAAAAAATATATTTTATACACTTAGAATAGGCAATTCGTTGGTCCCTGCGATTGACTGCGATTCTTTCATGTGACTGATGTGTACAGTCATCTCTGCTGTTATGTGATAGTTGCATTCATGTAAAACGCCGACCTATAGAAAATCGCATAGTAAAAATAACCCCTGTACATCCGCAGAGATTAAATTAGTACTTTGACAGTTTAAAGCGCTGGGAATGAAATTGCATAAGAGCAAACTTGCATATGCAAAAGTTTGCATTTCACAAACAGCTTTTACCGATTCATCGATCTCATTGGAGCAAATTCGCGTTAACGAAACATACGTAATTGCAGAGATGACTGTATTTATAATTTTTATTCAAAATCAGCGATGTAAGAATTACAATTTAGTATAAGAAGCAGTGCGAGAAACTTTGTAAAACGTTATAAAAATAGCAAAATATATTTTTTCACTTTTTGACTTTCTGATTTCAAAATCGGCATTATTCTGAATCGGCGCAGTCAGTCAACTTTGGCCAGAGCAGTGGGGAGCAGGGTCAGGATTGGACATGGTCCTGGCAGAGGGGGTAAGGACATGCAAGAGAGAGAGAAGTCAAAGAAAGCAGCTCTTATAAAGGCCCCTTGGGATCTGGCAGGTGGTTCGCCAGACATGTGGTAGGTGGGTGGACATGATGAGGAGGGCGGCTCGCAGGGCATGAGTCCTAAGTTATCACGGGCGACTTTCAAGGTATCCAGTCGCATCAGAACCCTGATGATGGGGACAGAGTTGATTCCCGAAACGCCGGTTTACTACGGTAACCGGTTGACGCGGCTGATTGCTCGGGAAGATTTTATTGACTGGACTTGCCATGAAAGTCTCAGATCCTATACTGACATATTTGTCACTGTGTGGATCTCAAATCTCATGTAAGATTGAAAGTTTTTCTTCCAAATATTTTTACTTACACTGGAGATTAATTAAGATTCTTGCTGCTTTTGTTGGCGGTGGTTAAAGTTTCGGTAGTATTAGGATTGACCCAAAATTCTGGGACTGTCGCAGACATGTGGGCAAGAGAGTGAATTAAAAGTTGCCGCTTAGATTAGGTTAGGTTAGACTACGCTAAGCTTGGCATCGGTGCTCATATACACAAAAGTTTGTTAAGAATGTAATAATGTCTGGCAGTTTTAAGCCTAGAATTCAAGATGCTGCTTTTGTGTTCAAATAGTTTACCATAAAATTGATTAATTTACTTTGTTTAAATTTGATATTAGGGAATATAGACACTAAAAGCCATTACGGGCGAATTTAATTTTTGGTCATGTTAGTCAAATATAATCGTTATTTGCACAAAACTTAAATTGAATTTGATCAAAATTCTTGGTGTAAAAACTAGTATGTGACATACTAGTATTTATCCCATTAAGCTCTATAAATTCTATTTTTATTAATTTTTATATGGCGTACATTTAACTAAATGCAGGTGCATTTCTGTGCAATGAAATATTAGTGCCTTTCATTAGGTCCTAGAAGGAATGTGGTACGCTATCTGTGCTGCTAATTATCTGCGCTCACATTCAATTTTTGTCTGCAGTAAGTCACTGGAAATGCCAGTCAGGGGTGCAAATACACAAATAACATCGGTAGTTTTCTTTTGAATGAGTATCCTTCTGTGTATAAGTTACCTTGGTTTGATATGAGAGCGATTCATGGCTTACTCATGTCTCCATTGAGACCTCTTGTAGTCGTCTCCGCATAAATGTTTCGTTTTGAATATTAACACTGGGAACTGGTCTTCTGCTGCACAAGAATAGCAACACAGCCCAGAAAAATAACATCGTCATTTCAGATGAAAATTACGTATTTTAATATACGGTCTGTGCTTTGCCACGCAACAGATTCTTGCTTGAGCAGTTCTCGAAGATGTTGGTGGTAGTTCGTGTTTCGTGCTACGGTGGCAGCAGCTTGCATGGAGAGCAGTTTCCAATACAAAGTGCTGTAGTACAATATCAAGGCAATTAACTTAATTATCTGTCACGGTAGTGACATTTGTAGGACACACAAAGCGATCAGTGCTAGTAGAAACATGATAATTTAGAATACGTTTTTAGAATTTGTTATAGTAATTGACTTTAAATTTCCTTCTGTTTCTTCTTCCCTTAATTTTTATTATATTGTTTAATTTTCTCTCCTTTTTCCTCATTTCTTTCTCCCCACGTTCCATTCTTTCACTCTCCTTTCTTCCATTTCTGTTTCACCTTCCATTTGTGTTTGTATCTGTCTACTTATTTTTCCTCTGTGTCTGTCTTCCTTATTTTATTCCCTCGTTTTCCATATTTCTTTTTGTTTCCCTCTTTCTTTCTTACTCTGTTTTAGTCACCTCGAGTTAAAATGCAGTATTATGTGTCCTGGCCGCTGGCAAACATTTCTTGGCTGTGTTAAGGCTCTTATTCTGAACTTGTTAATCATTTCATGTTCGGGTTTTAAAGAAACAAGTTAGGAAATAGACGGACAGGGTAAAAATTGTTGCACTTCTCTCTGTTGTTTTCGTTCGATTTACAATTCGTGGGTGGACAACCAAGAACGAAAAATATAAAATTTTATTCAAAAAGACCATCTGTTTCCTAGTTATAAAAGTCACGTTAACTTGGCATGAAAACCTCAAGACTTACGATATGAAATGAGCGATTCATTCGTCTCTACGACGCCTGAAACATTTTTACTTCGATAAATATTTAGCATTTAAGACGCGCGCAGAAACTGATTTAGGTTTCCATTTAAGGTGTCCGTTATTCTACTCTTCGATTTTAACCAAAATTGGAATATATCTACAAGATATTAGTAAAACTGTACGATCCAGTTTAATGAAAATCCTTTCAGCGGTTATGTATTTTTTTTTGCAATATTATGGTAATTCGCTAAAAAGTAATACTTTCAATTTGCCTATGTTCATGGCAACTCACGACATTCATTGCTAAAAAGTCAGATATAGTTTGCAGATGGTATTAACTGATTCAATATAAATATATATTGACCTTTGTAAATCAGCAGAATACTGTTCTAAACGGGGTATTGCATTTTTATCACCTAAGAAGTTAATTAGCTGATTCAAGTCACGGTTGTTTTCCGTTGTGTTTACGCATATTGGGTCGAGATTGCCCTCGTGCTGTGCAAGCAAACCTCTACCCTAATTCTGCTCCCACCCCCCCGCTGTGGCTTTGTACGTCTGACAAAACCCTTTTTATTTATCACCAGAATCGCTCGTAATTCCAATAATATTACATGGAAATGAGTTTAGAAGGAAATAGCCACAGTTTTTGTCGAAAAACTTGAATACAAGAAGATTGTTGTCTTCTGGTTTGATAGAAATTTATCGACGTTTCAGAGGTGCTTGCGGCCTCAGTTATCAGGAACTGATTCCTCACGCGTGACTTATAAATTGCCCCTACACGGCGAAACATCACAGAAGACAGGAATTTTGATACTCACCGCCGTGAGAACCTGAAATTTCACAAAATACTACTCGTGTCTCTGCCGGTAAACTGTGATTTGAGCCGAGAAATTCATCCTGCGTGATGCTAGAGCGTAATAGATCGCACGGAACTATGAAACTTCGAATTCTCAATAACCTTTTCTAATTCTTGGTAGACTGTGCGGCTATTGTTTCATAGTGCGCTTTGTCTCCTTGACTCAAACTATGTTCGCGAATCATATTCAAGGTAAATGGATACAGACGTTGCTCTGAATATTACGAAAGAAGAATGTGGTGAGATGAATAGGCTCCTAGGTTTAATAGAGAACAATACGACTAGCGTTTTGCATATTTCGTGTTCTGTCGCTCTGTCGTTTGTTAAGTTACTGGAGAAGCTCAGTTATTACACAGAAAAGCTGTATCTTGCAACTTATTTCTACTGGAAACTGGTGTACTCTGTACAGAGAAATCTTATCTTAGAAATAGAACAGGAAGCCACAGTTGTTTTAAATGCTGCAGATAAAATGAATCTGTTTTCCTCTTTCTATGATTCTTTCTTCTTTCCTAGTTTTCTGACTTAATTTTATAAATGGACTTTATTTTTAATAACCCGTTTTGCACATTTCCCTTTGAAGTCGAGTGATAACGATAGTCTATGTACCATCTACTTTAACTGTCGGCAACTCTACAGTTTGTATTTATGGGTTTTGTATGATTCTCGCTGTAAACAGGGATTTTCCCCCTAAACAACATTTACAAGTTGATATTTGTAGGGGCGGAGTGTTACGTTTTCTTTGTGGTACGGACCGAATGTTTAAATATTATTTAGACAATCTTCGGTTTCGAAGGGTTAAAGTAAGACTATACATTACAATTCTTAGAAAAAATAAGTGATTAATAATCATTTTGAGCCAGGAGTGTCCGAACTGAATTGGAGAATGGAGGGCATTAGTTATTTTAATAGTTCGCCTATTTGCTAGTTGTTTTGTTGGTCAAAATACGTTACAATTGACTGGGCATCTATCACTTGCCAAACTGAGGAGGGTAACTTCAATCTTATAAATAGGCTGTGAAGATGGGAGGTTGATGGAACTGGCCCACGATCTTATTGAGTGTCAGGTTATGGTATTAGCAATGCTGAACCTTCTTGGTTTACTATCATTGAGTTCGCTAGGAGATTATCTACGTGCGTAGCTAATTAGATTGTTAGCTGGTTAGTTGGTTACGTGCAGTTAAGAAAACTTAGTAGGAGTTGAGATTTTCACGGCTGTGAGTACGAAGAAAACGTATCTTCTGGTTTGTAGCGCCGTGTAGTCTGGTAGAAGTTTATCAACGTTTCAGAGGTCCCTGCTGCGTCCATCGCCCTGATGATGGAGGCAGCAAGGACCTCTGAAACGATGGCAAACTTCTACCAGACTAAACGGCACTACAACCCAGAAGACAGCCATCTTAAGAATACTTAATTAGTAAATAATTTGCAAATAAAATTATGACCTTAAAGTACTTGCAAAGATAATAAAACAGCTTTTTCTGTATCACAACCAAGGCGATGTTGGTGAGAAGCGAAATTGTTCTCGCAACAAAAATTACTTCGTGTAATGTAATCGTTTTGTTTAGTAGCCAGCGACATCAGCGCTGTCACAGGCTAGATATCTGGCCCTTGTCGGAATGAATCTAGATAATTTGACTAATTAGCAACTAGTTAGATCAGTCAGCCGGTCGGTTCATTAGTGACCTAGTTCATTAAGTAATTAGTTGTATTGCTGCTTCTGTTGTGAGACAGGATAATTATTTCGTCAAGCTAATTAGGTAATTATCTTGTAGGTATGTAGGTACTTAGATAGTTGGTTAATATGTAAGATAATGTGTGGTTGGTTATTTACTTTTAGGTAGCTGGTTGGTAGTATAATTATTTCGTGACGTGCTGTGTTGTGATTTAGGCATGAACTATACAAGCCTGTGGGGTTGCCAGCCATGTTTCTGAACAGGACTGGAAATCTTTGAGTGGGAAGCTTTTCGTTTTTTCCTGCGTCCCAGCTTTTTGAACATGTTTGATCCCGTTGCATCCGTCCCGTGGGAGGCCTGGAGATGGACTGCGCTGTGGTCGATCGATCCTCTCTGGCGCCAGGGCGACTGTGTACGGGGGCGGACCAGCTGCTAAAAAATCACGTGACTCAGTGTGATTGGACATCTCTCAAACTGTGCTTTTACGTGTATACGTATTAATTTTAGTCGTTTGTTCAGAAAATAACTGGCCATAAAATAGACGTCTTGTTGCCATGAGGTTGGTCCTGCTGTTGTTCGACTTTCAGGTTCGTGAGATTCCCTAGCCGTGCTTTTTTTTTCTGCAGATGTGTTAGTGAACTAGAAAACCGAGCTAATTAACTACCTAATCAAACAGACGAGAATTTTCTTTAGTATTTTTTTTATTTTCCAGTTGATTACGCAAGTTTGTAACTAACTGATTAACTTGTAGGATTTGAGGTTTTCACAGCGATGAGTCTGATGACAGCAATCTTCAACTGATTAACTTGTTAAATTCTATGCTATAATGTATTGAACAGTTGATAATGGTACAAATAATCAAGAAACGGTCTGTTCTTTATGAAATCTGAACGTTTATCATAATGTTCACAAAAGCCAAGCTTTAGGCACTATCGTGAACTAGTGGAGAAACCTACACAACTAATTTCTGTACGATCCATTTTAATACAATGTTTAAAACTACCTCTCTGTTTCTTAAACTGTATCTTTCGTTGAGATTTTCCGACGAAAAAATTGTATCTCATTTTTCCTATGCGTGCAAAATGTTGCACATAGATAATCGTCCTTGATTTCTTTGAATTTATAACATTTTATTTATGCAGTTTAATTTTTCCATATAATTGTTTTGGTGAAATGTGTTTTATTATTATTCTTACAACTATGTTTGTATCTCCTATCTGGTCTATTTCTTTGGTGGTTTTATGTCGAAACATTATATAAATTTATTCTTTTCGTAAGAATACTTTGGCGGGGTTCGGAAATCATATTTCTTGATAAAATCTCCCTAACAGTACATGAATCTTCACGTTTTGTGCTGTCCATATCTTCCGTACTTCATCTGCCTGAGGTTAAAATGTTATCTTGAGCAGGCTTATTGCATTGATCGCCTTTTGTTATTGAACCAGAAAGCTCATAAGCGTCATCACATAGTTATATCATTGTACTCTAACCTGAAACAGTGAAATGCAACTTCCACCGTCACAACCTGTTTCTGTTGTAATACGTTTCAGAATTATCTTTTCGGTTTTCATAGCTTTTGCTTTCCATCAGATATCCCTACCGGAATTCTGTACCAATTTCCTGCGTTCTCCTAAACGTTCAACGCATTGTAAGCTTCTTAGTTTCACATTTCTGGCATTAAACACAAAGTTTATGTAGTGTTGTCAACATTTCACTCAAAACCGGTATAAATCATAAGCATCGTTTTATTACCTTGTTGCCTTTCGTTACTCAAGTTCATCGACCGCTTATCGCTTGAGATTGCAAAACGTGTTGTTGTTCCTAGTTCGCCTGCGTATTTACGTTTAGGCTATATGCACAACGTCGGAGCCGGAGAAGTTGCCGCTTCAGCACGGCGCTAGGATTTTCAACAAATTTAATCATGTCATATCTTTATGATTCTTAGGTTTAGCGTTACTTAACAGTAGCATGATGAAAATAGTCATGAATGAAGGTTATTGATTTTTCAGACGTCCTTGATGCCTCCATCATCAGGGCGATGGAGGCAGCAGTGACCTCTGAAACGTCTGTAAACCTCTAACAGACTACACATCTCAACAACCCAGAAGACAGCTATCTTAAAATTGTGGTTAGTCTCGAGGTACAATCCTCGAGAGACGGCGAACAACCACTGAAAGCTTGTTATGATTGATTACTGGTATTCTGACCTAGGCCCCCATCTGTTGTTGCTCAAGGGGCTTTGCCCGAGGTCCGCCTCTAAGCTGTCTGATTTACCAGGCCTGGATGCCCCTGAACGTCCACTTCCTGGTTGAAACATTAGTGCTTGGTCATTGTTAAAACATTTTTGCGAACAATGGCCTTGTATCGTAGTCCAACAGGAATATACACATTTGGAATACTAGTGTATTGCAAATAATACCCCTTTGCAGTCATTTTAAAAAATGTTATAACGTTGAAAAGACTGGTGCATGAAGTAATGTAGATGCCTTTAAATTCTGAATGAAATGTTTTCTATAACGAATATGTAACGAAATATATAAAAACCTCTAATATGATTAGTTTTGTGACAATGGATTTACATGTGTACTAAACTAACATCAGTACCAATAAGATATAAAATACAAGAAAGAAATCGCTTTGATAATACAAGTACCTGATAATTCTACCTATTATTTGATGATATTCAAAACGTTCTTCTCTTTCTATATTCATGTAAACCGGACTTAATTCCGTTTCGTTCTGCACATTCTTTATGTACCAAGTGAGGCAGAAATTTGTTTGTAGATTTCTAGAAAATGTTTCTTGAGTTTACACGCGTGAATAAACAAGATACAGTTGAAAGGTTTGGCGCAGAAAAGGCCGTAGTTACAAGCTGAGTGATTTATGCAAATTTATATTGAAACTGCTTTCATTGATTCTGTAAATGTCTCGATTTGGATTACTTTATATAAAAGTTCTCGGTGCGGTTTGCTAAATAAACGATAACAAAAAAATCTCTTATGTTTAGACCCATAGAACTTTTGCACAAAACGCTTTTATTATTGTTCTGTCCGTTTCCATGCCATGAGGTATCTTGTTTAAGCGTCAGTTACATTAAGCGATCTCACTGTTTATCCGTTAGCCAACCCACTCATCTGGTAGTGACGAGTCACGATCGATTTTGCTTGTCTAATTACATAGGGTAGCGTATCAGCTTGTTAATTCTCTCACAGATCTGCTTAAAATTTATTTTTTAATATGTGCTAAGAATGACATCGCACGGCCGTCTATATGCTGCTGTTCTTCAGAAATAACTCCAAGTCTTTGCAGACACAAACGTATTACTGCAAGGTTAATTACACTACTCTCTGTGTAAAAGAACACACAAAGTAGCCTCTAACCTCTTTAAGGTATACAATTTATATTTGAAGCATCTTTAGAATATAATATTAAACGATGTTTAAGTATGATAATTTCTGTGCCTGTAACATGTGATGCCTATGGTTAAGTTCGGTTTTGTAACAATGTTTGGTCCTTTGTATGTGCGATAAATACGCATCACACGAGTGCGGCATGAAGAAATGCGAAGATCGCTGTTGAAAGTTTAGTCTCACGTGAGAATATACCTTTTTTCTTCTTTTCTTTTTATCCTTTAGAATTAGAAGGTAGTTAAGACTTTCCTTCGCATTTGGTTTGTGAGAGGCTCTAACTGCGGAGCGGGTTGGAATTACGTACAAATAACTTTCGCTCTCGTGACGAGAAAGTCAATAAAAACCGTGAAGCCATTTTGATTCTTTCCCATATTAGATCTGACCTTGTATGATCTCTAAGGATTAACTCTTGGGAACTTCATACTTTGCTCAAAGCGGTACCAGACGTATTCCTGTTATCGGACGCAGAGGTGTTATTGGCTAGGATAACGGCGCAGAATTCATCTTGAAAATGTTCTGTCGTTCAGTAGATCAAGAAATTGTGTTTAACGAACCCGAACTCTTAGTACCTTGTTCACAAAAGTACACAGTCCTTTGTCATTTGAATACGCTCTCTAAGACCCATCTTAATATTACTTTCCTATCTACACCTATGTATGTCAAGTTGTCTCTTTCCTTGGATTGTCCCTTGCAACTGTGTAATATATTCCTCTCTTCAGTCCAAGTTAAATGCACGGCCAACTCATCCTCCTTGATTACAAGTATTAAGCTCCTCTTTGTCAAATTTTGTCCTAATCCTTTTACTTCCTCGCTGTTGGGTCCAAATATTCTCTCTAGCGCCTTGTTATCATACATCCTCAATTGAGGATGTTCCCTCCAAGTTAGAGGCAAATTCTATACCCATAGAAAACAGTGTCTAGTCCTGGAGCCGGTTACCATAACTGGGGCCATTCTTAAGTTCCATCAGATATTTCGTGGACATTATATTCAGGTAAATAGGATTTGAGGTTTTCATGGCATTGAGTTCGAAGATGGCTATCTTCTGGGTTGTTGTGCCGTGTACTCTGGTAGAAATTTACCGACGTTTCAGAGGTCCTTACTGTCTCCATAATCAGAACGATGATCTACCAGACTACATGGTGCTACAACCCAGAACACAGCCATCTATATTCAGGCAGTCCACGACCGTTTCCATACCCTTCTCAGTATTAACCGTTCTGTCGCTCGACGACAGTCGATGTGTACCTCACATGCAAACATTCGCTACTCACAAACATAGGCCTATGAAGGATCTGAGGTTTTTACAGCGGCAGGGATATTATATGGATTTCGGCGCCGTGTAGACACGTCGGTAGATGACGTTTCGGGGGAAACGTACTGTTTCCATCCGCAGGGCCGTGAAAATCTAAAATCTCAAAAGCTGTGCTGTGTCTTTAACTTGGAATCTTTGAATTTTGTGCTTGAATCCGAACGTTTATTGAGCACGACGTGGCGTTCTTCTATCCAGTCTAGTTAGCAAACCGGATTCTCATCACAGTGGCCCGGTTTCTATTCCAGGACAGTCCGTGAGGGATTTGTGGTGGAACTGCGACAGGTTTCTCGCTGCGAACTCATCCCTGACTGTACTTAGATGGTGAACTCACATATCAACGTTTCAAATTCGGCCGTCCTATCCGAAGCTATTCCCATTACTATACTGCGTTCCAGCGTTTTTGGCCGCTGAACTTTTGTGAATAGGAACCTCGGAGCGAGTCACTTACCAGAAGTTTGGTGGAAGGGATGGCAGCAGGCCGCGTACAGTACACTCCAAATAAAATATAACCACGATATATAACACAGGAAAGTCGATTTCACTACACTACATATCACTATAAAATAACACTGCAGAGAGTATTAGATAATTTTATATTCTTCACATCTCTTCGGTCCTCTTCCAATTCTTCTACTCCTCACAGACTTTGGCTTTCTGACATGTCACTCGATTCATCACTACCGCTGCTGCTGTTCACTCCAATATCTTTAATTAAAATACGTTCAATAGCGTCTTCGATCATGCCTTCTTGTTCATAATAAATGTTTTCTAGTTTTCCACATGCTGACATACATCATCCCATTCCTCTTACCCAATTTCTTCGAATCTCTGGCGACACAGATGCTCGACGTCCTTAATTTTAAATGTTGTGTTCTAGCTTGCAACCCATTGTCCTACATATTCCCAAATAAGTTCAATGGGATTTAAATCGGGATAGTACGGCGGAAGTCTCAGCACAGTACGTTCTTTGTCTGCTAAAATCTGATCAATCACATAATATTTGTGCTTTGACTTATTTGATTAAATCGTACAGTTGAGCTTTCAACACGTTGTCACAGAATGGAATGTTTATTTCCAATAGCCAGGATCCTTCTTTGATTAAGACGTCGGTGGTTTGTCTGGGTGTTGTGCTTAAAGGCGTTATCAATGACCAGAAAGGAGATTGCAACGAACAGGTGGCATGTTGTTAACACAGCAGTCACAAGACAACAATTATCTGGCTTTCACACTGCTCCACTGACACAGACTGTACTGACCGAGGGATACTCGTTCCTTCATTAAGTGGTCCGCATACTGGGCACTCCCTACAAGGTCAGCGGCCATAATCGGTGACGTCTACTTTACCTGACCTCGTACGTCTTACGAGCGAAGTCTCCACCAGGTAATGAGATACCTATAGCAAACAGGTTGTGGGCCCTGAGTGTGTTTGTATAGTGTGAATTTTGTCAGGTTGTTTTTTGTGGAGTGGTTATTTTTACCCTTACATTCCCCATTAAACTTTATCTTATCTACACTCAATACCATCTCTCCCTTGTCATCATGTTTCCCTAGCACTCCACTGCGTTTGAAAGTGATAAGTGTGGTGGACTCTGAGATATGAAACTGCTTTCTGCAGGTATGACGTCTCATTTACTGACTGCTGTACTAATTCCGTGGTAGCAGATCCCAAAGAGTTAACACCGAAAACAGGAAAGGTCGTCATTAGTTACGTCTCTGAGCCAGTTCCTGCCGTTTCCCACCATCACACTCAGAGATTTCACCACCCTAACAATATTTCGTGAGATTTACGAAGTTTCGTAAGTGTCAAACTGTTCTGTTGTTTTGTCCTCCTTAGGTAAAACGACCACTAGGCCATCTTGTTTTCACCGTTAGGTAAAAAATCACGTTACATCAACTTACTTAACAACCTGTAAATTTGTATCTAAACCGATTTAGGCTTCTCGGCCTAAACCAATAAATGTAGTGTTTGAAAAATGGACGGGATGTAATATTTGATCTGAATACTGAGAAGCATTTCGTGAAATTGTTATGTGACCTCATTTTGACATGAGTATGGTCAAACACGTATTTACGTTTTAGCAGAAATAAGCGTGAAGATATT